TGGAGGGATAAATTCCTAAAGGCAACTCAGAGATTCCAGAGATTGGAACTGAGGGACAACTTGAGGGACCTTCATAGCACATCCAGCAAGCCCAGGCTCAGGGTGACAGGGACCAGCACCCCAGGGGCCCCTCACAGCTCCACGTGCCGTGCCTAGAAAGCCATCGGAGCAGCCGCGGGTTTCCCGATCCAACGGGAAGGGGAAATCCTGGCTCTGCCCAACAATGGCTGGGACGGCACCAGAACGGCTCCTCCAGGAGTCCCTGGCACGGAATGGATGTAGGACCAGGAGTGGGCAGCAGAATGGCTCCTGTGGGAGTCCCTGCCATGAGATGGACCTGGGACTGGCCACCAGAATGGTTCCTCCAGGAATCCCCAGCCATGGGATGGACCTGGGACCAGGACTGGCCACCAAAACTGCTCCTCCAGGAATCCTTGGAATGAGATGGGACCAGGACTGGCCACCAAAATGGCTCCTGTGGGAGTTCCTGCCATGGAATGGGATTGGAACTGGCACCAGAATGGTTCCTCTGGGAGTCCCTGGCACAGGAGGGACCTGGGACCAGGACTGACCACCAGAACGGCTCCTGTGGGAGTTCCTGCCATGGAATGGGATTGGAACTGGCACCAGAATGGTTCCTCTGGGAGTCCTCAGCACAGGAGGGACCTGGGACCAGGACTGGCCACCAGAACAGCTCCTCTGGGAGTTCCTGCCATGGAATGGGATTGGGACTGACACCAGAATGGTTCCTCCAGGAGTCCCTGGCACAGCACCACCAATGCCCTGCCAGGACAAGGGGCTGACCCCAGAAATGGCTCTCCCTGACCCCACAAACCCCTTTGGGTGCCAATCCCCATCCCAATCCCCATGCTGCTGGACAGACACTGCAGGAATGACGATGAGTTTTATGGGGAACGGGCTGTAGAGGACCCCAAGCACTGGCATTCCATGGGGTTTGTCCCCAAAAAATGTGTCCCACTCCTCACTCCGTGTGCCAGGGCTGTCAAGAGCGAGCGCCAGGATCGGTGGTGCCCACGGGGCCGTGCCCATGGGGATTTGGCTTCTGTGGCCACCAAGCCTCACGCCACACAGCAAGAACGGGGACAAGCATTGTCCTCGCCTTTCAGCGGGAATAATGGGAAAAGGAGGCAGCTAAGGAAGGGATTTATCCCAGAATCGGGAGCTGGGTTGGGGAAGTGCCCTGCAATGGGGACAGCACCTGTCTGAGGGCTGCCACCCCAAACCCAGCACCCTCTCCCCTTCCAGACCCCCTTCAGGAGCCCCTAAAGGCAGTTTGGGGGTGCAAAGCGGGGTGGGGAGGGCTGAGCTGGGCCGCCCGGCTTGGGGGCAGCAATTACATAACAAACAAAGCCCGGCTCAAGCTGCGAATTAATCAAACGGCTGAAAATAAAACCTTCCTCTCAGGAACTTCAAACAAAAGAAATGAAAACAACAAGGCCGGCTGGGTAATGAAAAGCCAGGGCTGTGAATAGGGGACAAAAGGAAGTGGAACAATGGGGTGTTGGACAAAAGCAATAAAGTAAAGGGAAGTGTGACAGCTCCACAATAGGGCACTGTGCTCGCCAGCCTTTCTGATCTTAGCGGGCCTTTTTTTAATCTCGGTTCCCTCGCCCTCCGCCGAACAAACCCGCCGGGTTTCCTCCCGGCCCCGCATTGCCCGGGGGCTGCCGCATCCTGCGGCGCCCCTTCCTGCCCCGGCTCACCTTGGCCCCCAAAATCCATCACCGGGAAGGACCGGCCCCGGTGGAAAACTGTGCCTGCTCCAGCAAGGATTGGCCTTGTGGCGATGTTTTAAATGGGGAAACTGAGGCAGGAATGCACAGCACCTCAGGTGTGTGTGAAACTCCATTTTCCCCAGCTTTTTTGGTGTTTTTTTCCATGCAAAAAATCCAAATGTTGTAGTTTTGGGATGCTCCACGGCACAGAGCGATGTCTTTGGTTTGAGGCAGGCACAAAATCCCATCCCAGCCCTCCCACAGGTCCCGTTCCCATTGTGCTTCACCTCCCGGTGCAGCCACTGGAAGTTCACTTTTAAAATGGAGCCAGGCTTTAATAGGGCCGTGTTTGAAAGAGGCCTCCTCGAGGGTTTGTTATCCACCCCGCCGAGCAAACAAAAAAAAGGGGAAAAGGGGAAAACGGCGCTGTTATCTCATTGCGGGCGGGTCTCAGGTGTGGGCTCCGGGGCTGCCTGGGGCACACAATGGGCACGGAACAATCGCCCTGGCACGGCCCTGAAAGGATCTTCTTGGTTTGTAATGTTCCCCATTAAATCCAGGGTGGGGAGGAAGGGAGGGAATGGGGTTGGGATGGAAAGCGCCAGCCCGGAGGATGGAAACAGATCCCAAATCCTCATGGGATGATTCCTTCCCTCACAGCTTTTTGGGGGCTCATTCCACCAGCCCTGAAATTCCCACATTTCACCTTTCCTCCCAGTCCCAGCCTGGCAGCTCCAAGATTTTGGGGATGGTGACAGTTTGTGTTTCCCGGTTTGTGGCCGCGAACGGCACGTCCTGCAATTCTCCCGGTGGCCGTGCCACCCTTCCTGCCCGCCAGCCAGGCCTGATCCTATCGGCAGAACAGCTCCAGGGGCTGGGAAAAGGGGATGAGGTGCCAGAAAACCCCCACCCTGCCCGGCACCGGTTTGGGGATCTGAGGGATGCCAGAATCGCGGCACTGCAGGAGTTTGGGATCCAGATGTTGAGATCCCGGCACTGCAGGAGTTTGGGATCCAGGAGATGCCAAAATTCCAGCACTGCAGGAGCTTGGAGATCCAAGAGATGCCAAAATCCCACAGCCTGGGATCCAGGAGAATCCAGGAGATGCTGAGATCCTGGCACTGCAGGAGCTTGGGATCCAGATGTTGAGATCCTGGCACTGCAGAAGTCTGGGATCCAAGAAACATCAAGATCCTGGCAGTGCAGGATTTTGGGATACAGATGTTGAGATCCTGGCACTGCAGGAGTTTGGAGATCCAAGAGGCAATGGGATTCCAGCACAGCAGGAATTTGGGGATCCAAGAGATGCTGAGATCCCAGCACAGCAGGAATTTGGGATCCAAGAAACACCAAGACCCAGGCACTGCAGGAGTTTGGGATCCAGATGTTGAGATCCTGACACTGCAGGAGTTTGGGAATTCAAGGGGCAGTGAGATTCCAGAACTTCAAGAATTTGGGCATCTAAGAGATGTGGTGACCAAGAGATGCCGAGATCCTGGCACTGCAGGAGTTTGGGATCCAGGTGATGAG